GGTCAATAAAACTGACATATTTTTAGGGTTACAAAAATTAAATATCATATTTCTTTGTTATTGTTTTGTTGTTTTTTTTTCTACATATTATATCATTTTTAAAAATTACATCCCATATTTTTAATATGGTCTCAAACACGTTATAATGATGTTTTTTTAAGCTTTTTGGCAAAGCGAGATGATGGAAAGAAATAAAAACATGGACATTTCTGTGGTTCATTCATTCATTCATTCATTTATTTTCTTGTCGGCTTAGTCCCTTTATTAATCCGGGGATGCCACAGCGGAATGAACTGCCAACTTATCCAGCAAGTTTTTACGCAGCGGATGACCTTCCAGGTGCAACCCATCTCTGGGAAACATCCACACACACACACTCATACACTACGGACAATTTAGCCTACCCAATTCACCTGTACCGCATGTCTTTGGACTGTGGGGGAAACTGAAGCACTCGGAGGAAACCCACGCGAAAGCAGGGACAACATGCAAACTCCACACAGAAACGCCAACTGAGCCAAGGTTCGACCCAGTGACCTTCTTGCTGTGAGGCGACAGCACTACCTACTGCGCCTGTTTTCTGTGGTTCAGTGCAAAATAATTAGCGTGTAGATGCTGTCCATATTGAATTTAAACAAGAGATATTAAATATAAAGAGATAAAACATCTGGCTGTATTCTCATCTGCATGAATATTTTTATATGGCCTCAGACACATTATAATGATATTTTTGTAAGCTTTTTGGCAAAACGAGATGATGACAATTATTTTCCACAGAACCACAGAAATGTCAATCCTTTTATTTCTGAGAACACGGTCAGATGTTATTTTTCTTAATCTCCACCAGCAGGTGTCAGTGTCTCAGCTGAAATGCTTTTATTATATAAACTCACCGGCCATTTTATTAGGTACACTTGTGCAACAATCACATGGCAGCAACTCAATGCATTTAGGCATGGAGACATGGTCAAGACGATCTGCTGCAGTTCAAACCGAGCATCAGAATGGAGAAGAAAGAGGATTTAAGTGACTTTGCATGGTTGTTGGTGCTAGATGACCTGGTCTAAGTATTTCAGAAACTGCTGATCTACTGAGATTTTCACGCACAACCATCTCTAGGGTTTACAGAGAATGATCTGAAAAAGAGAAAATATCCAGTGAGCGGCAGATCTGTGAGCGCAAATGCCTTGTTGATGCCAGAGGCCAGAGGAGAATGGCCAGACTGGTTCCAGCTGATAGAAAAGCAACAGCAACTCAAATAAGCACTCGTTACAACCGAGGTCTGCAGAAGAGCATCTCTGAACACACAACACGTCCAACCTTGAGGCGGATGGGCTACTGCAGCAGAAGACCACACCGGGTGCCACTCCTGTCAGCTAAGAACAGGAAACTGAGGCTACAATTCACACAGACTCACCAAAACTGGACAATAGAAGATTGGAGAAACGTTGCCTGCTCTGATGAGTCTCCATTTCTGCTGCCACATTCAGATGGTCGGGTTAGAAGTTGGTGTCAACAACATGAAAGCATGGATCCATCCTGCCTTGTATCAACTGTTCAGGCTGGTGCTGGTGGTGTAATGGTGTGGAGGAGATTTTCTTGGCACACTTTGGGTCCATTAGTAACAATTGAGCATCATGTCAACGCCACAGCCTACCTGAGTATTGTTGCTGACCATGTCCATCCCTTTATGACCACAGTGTACTCATCTTCTGATGGCTACTTCCAGCAGGATAACACTTCATGACATAAAGCGTGAATCATCTCACACTGGTTTCTTGAACATGACAATGAGTTCACTGTACTCAAATGGCCTCAACAGTCACCAGACTTTAATCCTATAAAGCATCTTTGGGATGTGGTGGAACAGGAGATTGACATCATGGATGTGCAGCCGACAAATCTGCAGCAACTGTGTGATGCTATCATGCCAATATGGAGCAAAATCTCTGAGGAATATTTCCAATATCTTGTTGAATCTGTGCCATGAAGGATTAAGGCAGTTCTGAAGGCAAAACTGGGTCCAACCACTAGTAAGGTGTACCTAATAAAGTGGCCGGTAAGTGTCTACTGTACACACACACACACACACACAACATTCCCTAGACACTATCAAAGCTATCGTGCTAAGATGTGTTCATTTAATGTGCAGATACTAGACTTATTATAAAATCAAAAGAATGAGCACTTCCTAAATAATGGTGAGAATATATTAAGAGTTATTAAGTGTCCTAAGGCAGAAGATGAGTCTAATGAAAAACATATTAATCATTCGGCAGATAAAGAAATTGATTTAACTATTTTACAAAAATTCATCTAATCATAACACTGAACGTGAAAGAAACGATGTCCTTATATCGAGGTTTACCCCAAAACCCCTGTTGTTTTAATGAAAAATGTAAAGCTACAAATCTTATAAATATTTAAGTATTGCAGATCTGTATTTGACATCTTGTGAATGTCTTTTATTATTATTATTTGTTTATTTATTTTCATTATTTTTTTACTTTTGTAGTTTATTTGTTTGTTTTATTTTTATATTTGTCTTCTGTTTTTGTTGCCTGCATTTTTGTCCTTATTGCTAACAAATTCTTAATAATGAGATATTTATTTATTGATTTATTTTGGCTTCGTCCTTGATATAATGCAAGTCTTCCTGCTATGGTCAGTACAAGAGACGCTAATGTCTATAAAGAGCAATACTGCTGTGAACTGTGCCTTTAATGAGTCCTGCTGGGAAATATGAGTTTGAATAATAATCGTGAATAACTGTGATGGAATCTTTGATCTCTCTCAGCCTCTATAATGTGCTGTTTGATGAGGAACATTCAGTAAATGTAGACTACAGTTTGACAAGCGCTGAATTCATAAATGCGGCAATGGCGACATCTACAGGACCTGTTTGAGACACACAACAAATATTCAACTTGGACTGATTACTTTTTTCTGAGCAAAAAAAACAACAATAAAATAGAAAAACTCATATCGTAGATATCATTATAATATATGATATGCTATAATTTATATTTGTCATGATTTCCAGAAGGCCTTTACTAAAATATCATTTAACAAAACAAGTAAATGATTATCAAATGAGATTATCAAATGAGAATCATTTGATGACACACATAATAGAATCACAATTTGATCAATTTTTATTTTATTTTAATATGTACAGCTCAAAATGGCTTGAGTGTGTTATTTTTTAACACTAATATTTTGTCTTTTAATATTCTTTATATTTGAAGAAATATGTTTGTTTATTTTTCTTTATTCTGATATGAGGAGTATTTTGAGATCTGGTTGTGTGTTTTTCTATTGCTGTCAGGGTCCTTTTT